ATAAACTTAACTATATTTTGCACCAGCAATAAAGCTAGCATCTTCAAATAATTAACAAAACAACCCAATCAGTTAAAAATTATTTAGTAAACTATTTAATAACTCGTTGTGAAATATTCAATTATTATCTCAAAATAAACTTTCCAATTTGTAATATTAAAAAAAGAAAAAATGTTTTATACTATTCAACTAAAAATGATTAGAGTTTGTTATCTCTATACTAACTCAAATATAATTATCTTTAAAAGACTTATTAATTGCTAGTATTAACTGCCATCAATTAATATTTCATAATCAATTCAGATGTGAAACAAATACGCAACGATAAGCTTTTCTTTGAATTTTCTGATCGGATGTTTATCTGGTACGTAAGAGACAAGATTTATTAATACGAATCAATCGAAGCTGACCACACGCAGTTTCGAACAATTGAATAAAAATGAGCGATGATTCGAATAGTGTAGGACACATAGTGCCGATAAAAGGTTAAAAGCACGATAAGATAACTCGTGGCAGCGAACTTTATTAAGTATTCCTCAATTTCCTCTAACTATACACTTTTATCTGTGATATGCATACAAAACGGCAGATATTCGTAATCAACGCCACCGATATTTCGTATGCATGTCGAACGAAAAATTTCGCGTCAATGTGTGCGGGACCGTAAATAAAACTGCTTCGGACGCTTTCTAATTTCCTTTGAACTTTAAACACCCTTAAACATATAAAGTCATAAAGGTCAGCAGGATTTTTAAAACCAACAAAAGTTCAGCAGCTCAAATGGCGATATTAGAATTTGCTATTTGGTCCGAAATATTTATTTTTAGAATAAAAATTTAATTCGATCGAAAATTCATATATGTGTCAGTATACAGGGTGTTACCTGTAACGCTACTCACGATTTTTCTCCCACTTGCAGCCACCTTACGAAAAAAAGTTCAGAACAATATTTGCAGGGTATGAAGTGCACAATAGATATTAGTAAAGCAAATTTTGAAAACAGTTTGTTCTCTCGGCAAAGTCAAGGTCACCTTAGGTTTTTTAAATAGGAACATACATTTTTTTTATTCATTGCTTTAGAGGACATCGAGACGAATTCAAAACACGTGTTACATGATATTTTTATTAACATATTACTCGATTTACGGAAGTGGAAATGTGAAGTAAAGGACCGGAATATTACGTGATGGAGGGCGGCATACATTTTGAACATGTAATTAAATAAAGTGTATTTTTCTTACATTCTAGTCGCGTGTTCACATTCAGTAATCTCTTCGGAATCAAATAATGGTTACCCTACCAAAGTCAAAATCTAAGTACTTCACACTTCCTCTTCAGTATAATTTACTTTTTAGAAAAAAAATTGGGTAGACAAAAAGTAAGTGTCAGGAAATTTTAACGTGGGGATTATTCTTCCTTAAAAAATTTATTCTCTGTAATTCTTCATTCGAAGAAAAGAAGTTTGTGATGAGAATAATTTTTACTTAAAAGACCTATTTTCTTTGTTCAATTTTTTATTCAAAGAAGAAAGATTTAATGTGAAGTTCTCCTTGAAAAACAAACTTTTCCAAGAGATCAGAGTTCTAGTTGGTTTCAAACTAAATTTCATCGGTGAATAATTAGACCGTGGCTAAGAGAGAATGTTAGAAACCTTTAGAACGACTCTTCTTCGTCGGAAAGACATGAAGATCCCTCAAGAAGCCTGCATTGCGGATCTCCGCATCGCACGGGACAATGTCACATCGCTATTCTTCATCAGTGAATAAAAAAAATGTCTTCATTTTAGAAAGTAGGTAGGTACAATGCAAAAATTTGTATGTTCGTCATTATTGTCACATTTGAACAAAAGAAATTCTATTTTGAATATCTTAATCCTTATCGAACATTAGAGGGTGTATGCAGATGTGCAACCGAACTGTACCGATTCTACGCGAAAACAATAAACTGAAAATATAAAATAAAATCTTTTCAAACTTGACTCTCGAGAAAATTAAATTTGAAAATTTGTCGCAATATTTCTAAAAAAAATTGTATCCAAAGAAAATGAAAATCTTGGTAACACTGTACCCTTAATTTGGCTGGCGTTGTTCGCACGTAAGGCCAAATCCTCATTTCGAATTCTTTTCAATTTAAAGATATGAAAATTTGTTTTCTTTTTTCGAAATTTGGAGATGTAGCACCGTAGAAATTTGAATTTTTTAAATTTGAGAATTTGAAATTTAGTCTTTTAAAATTTGCGTTATGACCTCGCGTTATATTGCCACGCGTTATATTGCCACACATTATATTACTACGCATTGTGTAGCTACACATTAAATCTCCGCGCGTTATATTACCACGCGTTATATCGCCACGCATTATATTACCACGCATTATATTGCCACGCGTTATATCACCACGCGTT